CCAGAAGCCATCATCAAGTGTCTTGGGATGTAAAATCAGTCCTCAGGGGAAGCCATCCTCGAGGCTGCGGTACCAGTTTATTCAACCTGTAAAGTTTTCAAATCTGTAAGAAGCCATAAAAAAAGAATATTCCCAAAGACACACAAGTAACGTAATTGCAATGAATTACACATAAAAGATGACAATGGCTTTAAACACATGATCTGCTGGTTTGTTTTCTGAGGTAACCCAATACCACACCTTTCGGTCAGATATACTTTGGATTTCTGATACTCGTACAACAGAAGTTTACTTGGAAAGGACCCATTCTCTAACTCCCAACGCACATAAGCACAACACCCCATTGCATTTATGGTGGCACCTGAAAAATTTTCCTCTTTTCATCACTCTTGGATGTGATTAATGCTCTCATGAGAATTTTTGCCTTCAAAGTAAATGGAATCATCAAGCCTAATGGGTCCAAAATTATAGCAACTTGACAGTATCATTCGCCTGGTGAAAAAAATCTGGAAATAGTGTTTCTATGTCTGCCCAGGATATATCTTTCCTCATTCTTAAACCTCGCTTCTTTTTGGAAAAGATGAATGAAACTTGTCAAAATAAGTATCACTAACAGGATCCCAGTTTAGACCTAAAACCCTTTCCTTTGCTAAATCAATGTTGTCCTGAACCTTCTGACACAATCTAACCGTAGAAAATTATCAAAGTCCTTTTCCATCTTTAGAACATAAAGAAGCATATATTTGTACCCTTCGGAGTTCGACATTTTCTCAATAACTCCCATTTTCCTAAATATCATCTTTGCTATCAGCATTTCCCATGATTTCTTAATTTCCATGTCACTATCAACGGTGGCTATCTCATCATACAAAGATTAGAAAAAAACAGTTTTCCTTTAAGTGTTCCACATACCTTGATTAGCTCCTCCATCTTGAAATGCAACGTGTTGAATTGTATCATCAAGTGTCTTGGTGTGTAGAATCTGTCCTCAGGGGATGTGATACGTGAGGCTGCTGTACCAGTTTTTTCAACCTGTAAAGTTTGTAACTTATAAGTAGCCATAAAAAAAGAATATTCCCAAAGACACACGTTACATAATTGCAATGCTGACACACATGAAACACAGCCAAATCAAAGAGACTGAAGAAAAAAACATCACTGGAAATCACTTTGTATTGGATTATGTTTCATTAATTTGTACGGTGCCATCCTTTATTTGTGGTAGAATGGAATATGCAGTTGTAGAGATCAGTTATTCTGCTTGTTAAGGAATAATACTTGACGCTCACCAGACAAGGCAATAAGTGTTATGATAAATTGTAATATGATTCAATGTTATTTCATTTCATGGAATTTAATTATATGACATTGCTTAAAATGTGTTAGGATACTAGATTTTGGATAAGCCTTTACCTAAGAAAGTAAATTTAATATTTGAAAACTAAATTTTGTACAAGTTTTATATGGAATAGATTTCAAATTCATATACAAATGATTTACATGATTACATGTATTTAATTTTCTCTTTATTTCTGATCAATGCCTGTAAAATGTAAAATTAGCATGTGCATGTGCTGATGTCAATGTTTTATTTTTTTTTTTTTTACTTATTTCCAAACAATGTCTGCGAAATGTTTGCATGTGCATGTGCTGATGTCAATGTTATTTCAGGTCGAAATAAATGATTACAACAAGCTGTGTTTTTCTGGTGACCCGTGAAACAACTTCTCTTTCCTCCCTAATTGTCTATGCAGTTTATTACCTTCTGCTCCTATACTAGGAATTCAACTAACTTGGGAAATACTGGGATTCTAAGATCAAGTTTCTGACAAGCAAGTGCCCATTCCCTTTCAAGTGTTCCACGTACCTTGATGAGTTCCTCCGCCTTGAAATAAAACGTGCTGAATTGTATCATCAAGTCTCTTGCGGTGTAGACTCTGTCCTCAGGAGAAGTGATACAAGAGGCTGCTGTACCAGTTTATTCAACCTGTAAAGTTTTCAAACTTATAAGTAATCATAAACAAAAGAATATTCCCAAAGACGCACAAGTAACGTAATTGCAATGCTGACCCACACATGAAACACAGCCTAATTAAGGAGAGAACATGGAAAATATCCCAATGATCATAAACTTTGCAAGACATTTCTACTGTTTATAAAGAATTACACATGAAACTTGGCAATGGATCTAAAGAAATTGTCAGGAAATTTAGTAAACAACTTAATAAGCAAAGGTATGCATGACCCTCATTGTTATCCTTATCCACAATATGCTATTGAATTACATCATATACTTACACCCTCGCGTATCCTTAGGTGACGCTGCCACACAATCATGGAAAGATAGCTGCCACCATTCAACCTAAAATACATGCATTATTAAAATTCAATTCCCCTTTTCTGTGTTAATATAACATACGCCTCATTTAAAAGATTCACAGTACCGTATGACAAATATGTGCCTTTGAAATTGTAATATCACTGGTAGAGGTTAAAGAGACCAACGAGCATAGATGGAGGAAAATGGATACTGCCATCTTAGAGCGAAAAAAAATAGATGGGGATAGAATATATTTTACGATGCAGAGGCCTTATATTTACCGTTACATGGAAAAAAAAAATGCAGCGCTATGTGCCGCATAGAGACTAAGTCCAAAACACCCTTCTGCAGCCAGAGTTCCTTGTTTATGTCTACATTTTCAGACCCTTGGCTTGCATGTCTATAGTAGACGTTCTCTGCAAAAAGACAATTTTATAGTTTTCTATAAAAATAATCCATTTAACTTAATCATGCAAGTATAATATGCATTCTTATTTTTCATGATACCTATGTTTAGCCAGGCTTGATTTCAATTACAGTAACTGCAGCTGTTACTGCTATATTTGAAGATTTGAGAGGTTTTGCAGCCACACCCATAACAAAATAGAAATAAACTACATCTCTATTTATCAGGAAATAATTAATATTCTTAACATACCATTTCTTAATCTAAACAAAAAGCTCTCATGTTACATTAACATTGACACTACTCATTTCCGTGCACAATTGTAATTCAGAACTCAAAGCACTATCCTTTAGCAATGGTAACCTTTAAATACTTACAGCTAAGGTCTTGGTCTGGGGAGGCATGAGGAAGAAGTCTAGAATCTGAGTTTCCATTAGTATAATTTCCAGATGAGACGTGGACACTGCGTACCCTGTAGTTTCTACCGAGATGTGCACAACTCTTCTGGAATAAACTTGGTATTTGAATAACTTCAAGCCAATTAGCACATCTAAAAAGAAAGTCAAAATACAGTAAAATAAATACGTTCATATGTAACTTAAATGCACAATTAAATTCTCTGCAAATGGCCTGCCTATGACAGAGAGGATCCATTTCAATACTATGAAAAACAAACATTATATAAAAAATTAAATACATTATGTGAAGTCAGTATCAGCTTTACAAATCAAGTTCCAGAAAAATAGTAAATGGTTTCAACTGCAATTGAAATAGGTACTGGATATCGAGTTACTATGAGGGCAGATAGGCCTATTTCTACTGCATAGGTTTTTAGATTTCCTTATCCAAATTAGAAATGAAAAACCCCTGTGTGTGTGAGTGTGTGTGTGTGTGTGTGTGTGTGTGTGTGTGAGTGTGTGTGTGTGTGTGTGTGTGTGTGTGTGTGTGAGTGTGTGTGTGTGTGTGTGATGTGTGTGTGTGTGTGTGTGTGTGTGTGTGTGTGTGTGAGTGTGTGTGTGTGTGTGTGTGTGTGTGTGTGTGTGTGTGTGTGTGTGTGTGTGTGTGTGTGTGTGTGTGTGTGTGTGTGTGTGTGTGTGTGTGTGAGTGTGTGTGTGTGTGTGTGTGTGTGTGTGTGTGTGTGAGTGTGTGAGTGTGTGAGTGTGAGTGTGTGTGTGTGAGTGTGAGTGTGTGAGTGTGAGTGTGAGAGTGTGTGTGTATTTAAATATAAATATAAATGTAAATATATATATATACTACCTTACCGAACTCTTATGGTTTTGTGGGAAAAGAGGTATTAGGTAATTGTTACAGTTTTCCGGCATTGTTTCTTCTATGAATGAATCGTTCAGGAGATTGAGTACCATTTCCCCATCGACAATCTTGATTTGATAGTCCTGTTAGCTGGGGAGGGCATGATTAGTGTTATTTAAACCCGCATTTTCCCTGGAACCTTTCATGCCCTCCCCTGCTATCGGGGCCAAGCTTGTCGCTAACGGGGGGTTTCCACACAATAAAAACTATATATCTGCAATGTGGACAGTGAGAGGAATCCAACGATACCAAAATCGTCGATATCAGAGCGGCGGAGGTAATATAGAAAATTACCAAAACGTATTTGTTGGAAATTAGCAGATCACATCATTGCATTATACTAAATATTTCCTCCTTTTGTAATTCCTTGCATGATCTTAAATCATCACACAAATATACATAGAACATTAAATCTTAGTGTGATTTGACATTTCGTTAGGTATGGATGCATTTAATTAACTTTTATGGAACAATAATCTCGCCATACGGTAAAAAATTAGTGTTATTCAAAAACGAATATCAAAAAACTGTAAACAAAGATCCAGAAAAGATATTGACAGAAGAAGAAAGAAAGAGATTACTAAACCTCCCAGGCAACACAGACATAAATACATATTAATGAACTGAATTGGCCAAAAAGAAATGCAAAAAGCGTGTGGGCCAGACGAGATACCTTATGAATTTTATAAATATGCCCCAGAACAAATAATTGAAAAAATATTGAATGTATTTAACCAATATTGGAACAAAGGTCAATATCCTAAAGAATATAAGAACATAATAAAAATCCTATCAACAAACCAGGAAAAAATTCAGAAGTAGAATCATATATGTATATCTAAGATTTCGATTTTAGGAAAGATCTTTGAAAATATAATAACAAAGAGACAATTGGTGGCTGGAGACAAATGATATATTAGATAAAAATCTTACAGCTTTAGAGCAAACTAAAACACCATAGAAGCTCTACAAATGATAGAGTCACACATAAATACTGCAATAATAGAAAAAAACAACAACAAAAAAAAAAAAAAACGCATTGCTAGCTTGCACAGACCTTCAAAAAGCTTTTGATACTGTAAACCATGATGCATTATTAACAAAAATGTCAAGACTAGGCATTACAGGTAACTCACTAAATTGGATTTATGATTTTCTTAAAGAAAGAACTTATCAAATGACAATAGGAGAAGAAAATTTTGAAAAAGGAACAATGTCAACAGGAGTACCCCAGGATCCCC